ACTTGGCAGCACTTCTCCATGAGAAGACCCCCACATCAGGGGAAAGGAGACAAGATGTGTTGTGACGTAATGGGATTGGATGAGATGGGTTGGTATTAAATGGATTGAGATGAGGTCCCTTTCCATTTCTCCAATTCACTGCCACGAGTTCTTGGCATCAGAGAACCACATACGGAGTGGAACAGGTAAGTGGGGATTGGAGTGAAAAGCTGGCATAAGAAGAAGAAGGATTCCTCGTTGAGCTCACAGTATTTTGGGAGGGGAGCACAGCTTATGGAGGTGCTTATTCGACTGTATAAAATAATTTAAAAAACCATCTGCAGTTCTCTAATTAAGATTTTGGTAAAGCCAACGCAATTAATTAATTGCCCATGGAATCAGAGTGAGCAAAATCCTGTTGACAAATGCACGAGATACAGGAAATGACATAATACTTTTCACTCGTAATTTCATAGATTATCTCAGAGGATCAAAATCCTATGACTGTTGTCACAACACAAACTTACTTATAAGTTTATTACACCACCAACCCGCTATGTTCAGTGTACCTTCACTTTCTTCGTAAATGAATCATAAGGAATAATTTACACCAAGTGAAAGATGGCTGTCTTCAGGCCATTCTCTTGCAAATTCTCCTCATCGTAAAGTTACACGTAACCGCTAATTTATTTGTACTTGTTTAATCATTAAAGAGAATTCACTCCCTCACTTGCTAAGGTTTCGCAATTTCAATTAACTTTAATGGCATTTCCCAGTCATATTTTAGACTATTATGCTTTGAATAAGTGACTTGATTTTAATATTGCGTAAGCTGACTATTGACTTCGGTGATACTTGTCTACCTGTCATCATGGCTACAGATGATGGCACTTATGCTGTTGTAATTTATACTTGCGTTGAAGTAAACAATCGATACGTCATTTGTTAGGCATTTCTCTATCTGACTTGACGGGGCTTCCTTTGGACCCTGTAACATACAATGCCGATGGAGACTTACTTACTTATTACTATTTCTTGTGTTCATGTGGAAGATTTGGGGTTACACATACAAAAGATTCTCGAAAATATTAAAATTCTATGCTTCCTAATTGGACCGATATGTTTTGACCCCAAATTACCAATACTATTTAAAGTGAGTAAGGTTATTACAAATTTTTTGAGGATAATTTGGTCTGCCTTGGTCGATATGCATTGTCCCGAGCCATTGCTGAAGAACAATGAAGCAGGGGGGGGGCTGAGAATGGGACCACTAACATGGTCCAGAGACCATACCGTTTAGCTGAAGTACTACGTCGGAGCCTTAAGTGCCCGCAAGACCAAAGTAAGAGTTAAACAAATAGTTCAAGTACTGAGTAGCCCCCCCTCTCCTTTTAAGTGGCTTTCCTGAGGCTCCTCTTAATTGACCTTTGCGTAGGCAACCCCAAGTAGTTGGTATGTAAAAGGCACCCATGAACCAACCGCGCCAGCCATTGAACTACTCTACATTTGAACAAACACTTGATTCTAACCTCACTTGTTCCTCTTGACAATTCTACTGGATATGGAGTTTCGTTCGGTTTGGGAATTGTTTTGAAGAAAGGAAAGTGTGGCCACAATTACAAAGGTCCACTGCTGATTGTAAAAAGAGTTATTTGATCAGAGACGGAGTTTGAAACAGTTTCATGGGGATAAATTTTCACGCCAATTCCTCTGCTATTTCAATCTCACTTCAGTTCTGTCCAGCTATGTTAATCTGTGTTCTGTCGGGCTAGTAGATGACCAAAAGTGGTCTCCCGCGTAAAACTATTTGACAACTCCAAGCAGATGTCCTAGAAAGCTCCATAAAGAACTCTTTCGGATGGTTTATAGTTAGAGTCGCTTTAGTCGTGAATAGAATTCCTACATAACACGGAACTGGGGTAGTTGCCGAAGACAGACGTTATTTTAACCCTTCTGTTACGGGTCGTCACAGATTATTCCATCTACAGCATACGTCCTTCCTAAGTCGCATTAAAATTTGACGTTTAACAATAGAAATCGGGATAGTTGTCTCTTGAAATTGAGTTTTCTTTCCGCTGAAGGCCGCTGACATGACCCAGAGACCTCTCCGAGGAGACTTATTTGCCTGCAAAACCGAAACGGAGAGTTAAACAAACCATCAATGCATTATAGATGGTGCAGCAAGCGATCTGAAATCCTTGATAGTAAAATGGGTACTAGCTGGCGATTTTTCCTCATCTTTCTACTCACATTTTATTCTACCAATGGATAGCTCTATTTGGCCCCCGGTTATGATTCAACGTGTCTAATCTCGAAACTGCATCAAGATGGCCATCGATAAGGTTAAAAATGAGCTCTGCTATTTAAATTTTATGATATTTGAATAATATTTTTGTCGTCCTCATTATTTGCTTCATCTTGCAGGCTTTTCACAAATCTGGAAAAACCCTTCTTTAAGTTTAATAAAAATCTTCAGCAAGTTTTATGCAATAAAATCGTGTTTCTATCTCTTTGTTTTCTGACTTTAGCAGTAATTAATGTATGCAGCTGAAAATAAAATTTAAAAACCTGCTGTCAGTGGTGAAGTTGCCTGATGTGTTCAATGCCGCGGGCAATGAGCGGGCAGCACTACCTACGGGCCACCTAGTTTATGAGGAAGAAGCCATTACCAAAATGGGCACTTGCAAGGAACCCAACCATCGTGATATGTATTTTCCCAGGATGTTTTTACGCTCCCACTAAGATTGGTGGAGATGGTCATTCTTTGCGTCGATTCTATTGGTAGACCATCATGAGGGATTTAAAAAACGAAACTGTGTGGTTATTTCAAACACTTAAATATGCTGGTGAAGAATTTTTCCCTCTTTTTTTAGTACTGAACAGCCCCCACGGCTAAAATTTTATACCATCATGTATTTGGCTAATGACATCGGTGAAATAGAGCGGTATCACTACTGGAGATGCAGTGTTAATTTTAAGTATCCTAGCAGTATTACCCACCATCTTGACATAATTTGCCTTTCTTATTTTAGCTTTCAGAAATATTTACTTACCTAGAGGGAGTACATGGGCTTTTGGACCGTTGAATGTCACCCTATGTTTACGATCGACTGGCATGCAACTCTAAGTGTGACGACAATAAATATTCTCCCTCTCTCTATCGCTGTAATAGACCAAACTTTCTTTCTTCCATTGTAGGTAGCTCTTCTTCACTGATGCGATTTAAATGGTCATAAGTTCCCTCTTCCGAAACGGGAGACTAATCCCCTTTTTAAGCTGTAATATTAGCAGCTGTAACCAATGTAATATTTTGGCGTCGATGAAACAGGTCATTTCAAGAAGGCGAAACTTTAAATTGAAAGCTGAAAATACAAATGTCGTCGGTCATTTTTGAGCGGTTGCTTACGATCTTGGAGGTTCCACTACCAGCGGTTGTGAAGTAGAGCTCGTCACGCCCCAAAAGAGGGTTCATGTTACCCACATCAACTCTGCTCCTAGAAACTTGCAAATTGTTAAGATCGGATCATAAGCCTCAACTACTTGCATGCATGGGCAACCAAAGTGGTGAATCTGACTCCAATTTCTGAAGCCCTTCAGCCTATCAACACGTTTGAATGGTTGAGATAATAAGCAGGCAGTTCACTTAATCAACTACGAAGTCAGGAGGTAGCAAAAGTTTTCGGAATAACTAATAGATGCCACTCGCCTCTTTTATCCGATGTCTAGTTCGCAAAAATAAACTATAGCTTCAAAAGTAAAAGTGCCATGGGCGATAGATGTAGATGGGGAAGACAAAATCACGGAGAGGAATAAAAAAGTTTTTTAGAGCTAAAAGTACTCACATTACTTGCAAATTGGAGCAAAACAGGTCAATTAAACCTTTTCTGTCCTCTTTTTTGCCTTTTGGCCCAGTTGTGGATCCATGAGAACCACTCAGGAGTGGTAAATGCAATTTCATATGTCATTAAACGTTTTTAAACAAAAAAACCTTATTAATCATTAAAATCGGATTTCTCTTCAAAACTACCCACAGTGTCAACATTAATTATCCTTTCGTTTATCTGCTTGATAGAGTACATCAGTGGTGCAAAAGATAATAGACCTCCATCCAATTTGGTTTGTTTTATCGCCTTTGAAATCAAGCCAGTGACATCCTCATTGAAGAACTGAAAGGCATTATCATGCGTTGACATCCTTTGTCCGTATCAGGGGGTACTTACCACTCTGCTGATATTTCCACCTCATTATGCTGACCACTGGAAGCCGTAGGAGATTTTAAGCCGACAAATACTTCTCTTTGCAATTCATGTAAGCCGAGAGGTCTCATCCTAACCTAACTTTCTAATAAAACCGAGTAAAACTGCGATGAAGACAAGAAGGAGGGGTGTAGTAGTGTTTTCACTAATACTTTATTCGCTCACAATCTGAAGGATTTCGTATGTTCGGAAAACAGTAAAAGTGTGTGCTGTTTTTGTTTGATACTCGCGTTTTATCTTCGTGAAGCTCTCCATCCTCACAAGACGCAGGTGGAGAAGTGAAATGCTGTGGAAGCAAAAGAAGGCAAATGTTTACTTATTGCTATCAGTCTCAAATATTGAGGCGGACGAACTGATGAAGCAGGCATGAAAATGATGACATTATGCTTAAGCCTCCAATCGCCAGGACCATGAAAGAGACATGATAGCCTAAGGTAAAGATTGATCCATTTTCAGCCAATCAGAATTCAGTCAAAAATCTTCGTGGCTTAAATAAAAATACCTGTCATTTTGCGGAATTTATGGACCAAACATGTCAAAAGACGAGCAAATCTTCATTCGTAAAGTTTAAGTCCTCATAGTGCTTCCTCCGCTTCCCTTCGAAATCCAACAAATTGGATAATGCGTCTCAAGCCTTATTATCCAATAATTATTTCTCTTTTATTTTTAAGTGAATCCCTCTTGATCATTTTTTTTAACCATTAGTAAGGCAACATACTCAGTATTACTTGAGAGACCACGTCTGTTTTCCTCGGCTCCCGTGGTTCAGGTCACCACCTTGGTATCTCGGCGTCCCGTCGGTATCAGTCTGCCAATCCAAATCCCTCCTACACTGTTGCGATTTCCTATGACACCACTAACCTTTAAGAAATTTATCGACTTGTCGAATTCTGGCAGCTCCTCTGTGGTTTTATAGCAATGTCTACCTCTCTGCTACTAGACAGAACATGGCGAACACAAAATTGGCATTATTCATTATTTCTGGATTAGCTATTCTGTTTCTAAAGTTTCCGCCAGCTTTGTTTGAACAAACTGCAGATACCGAGCGAATAAGCAACCAATTATTTTAAGTGACAATAACATAGTGGCATAATAGGCAGTGGGATCCACCAACTTTGATGGAAGTAAGTTAGGAATGCAAACGGTCGGACTCCGTAGAAACAGCTTAGCCAGACTGTCCAAGGAATCGCTTTTCAAATTAAGCTCCTTGAATTTATTAGAAACTTATACACTATACTTTCAGCTTACCAAAAATTATGTACAAATTGAGTGCTGCAGTAGAAATCTTAGACGTCGGACTAGTTGAAAGGGTTTGTAGATGGTAATTGAAGTACACTACTCGTTCCTTCTTTGACTTGAGGGAGTTATTCGCCATCAGCTTTTGATTTGCAGCCATTTCCCATGTTATGAGATGCTGAAATCGGTACTCTAGTCGAAAACCAAACTCAAATTTCCCCACAAATTCATCAGAGATGAAGAGCATAGTGAAGTGGCTGCCTGAAGAAGCGATTGCGAGGCTCCGGGTCGACGCTTGTTGCTGTTCAGTCTCAGGGCGAAAGACAGATTGTCTACTTCCGCAGACGCTCAACTGAACTGGCAGTTCGATAGATGGTCCATCGTAGAAGTACAGTCTATCTCCACTTTGCCCTGTGGTCTCATCGCATCTAAAAGGGGTTTGCCGATTTTACTATTCTACACACAATAGCCTCTCCAAGTATTGAGTCGACTGTCTTAACTTTCTGACAGCTAAGAAAAGACAGGAAATGTTTGACAGGGGCAATTAATATTCAACACCATTGTTTGTAGATTTTGTTCCTGCTTGAAAGCTATTGTGCACTCTTTTGTTCAACCTAGACTCGTTTAAGACATGAAAAGTTGTTATCATTGATGTGCACCTCAAAATACCCCTAAAACACAATAAAAGTGTAAAAGGACGTTTGGAAATTTCATAAAAATTGGCAAATAACAGCTCCGCATGAAGTAGTAGTCTTTGGGAGGAGTGGTCCTTTTTAAAGCATACTTCCCGATTGTGCTCTATAAATAAATGTGTTGATCAAGTTTATGTCACGTAAATGTGTCATGTAAATGTCATATTGCAGTGTAGATTTGAAAACTCAACTTTTACTTCTCGAAAATTTCACCCACTTGAGCTATGGCTAACAAGTCAACGTTGAGTTTATGAGGCGAACCCATCAAGGAGACGCTATAACTCATCTGTGTTCGATTTTATAATGAACCTGGTTTTGCACGAAAGGCCATTAAGGTGACCCCCTCAGTTAGGTAGGGTTGGAATTGCTTGCAGTTACAGGAAGGAGCCAGTACCACTTATTTTCCTCCACCACCTTTTCGGGCTTTTGTTCTCCACATACCAGCGTATTGAGATGCAGTCGCGGTTTTCAGTGCTTCGGCATTAACATTTGACAAATAGAATTACGGTGAAAGCCACGCCTCGAGATTTAATCGTCTTTTGATCGAAGAGCAACAGACTATGGTTTACCCAGTTTTATCAGTTAAGGTCCAGTCTATAAACCCGCCTTCGAAGTAAAGTCCGATTGGCTCTAGTTGACTTTGCGGGGGTAACTCTCTATGTCACCAATCTCCACCGGTTTCAGTGCCCCATAGGTTAAATTTGCCTTCTCTTTTACAATCGTATTTGTCATTGCTAAATTGCTAAAAAATATTTTCGTAACAGAAATTAAGCTGCCGGTTCTTAAACAAAAGTCCACAGATTAATTTTGGCTTCAAATCCTAGATACTACGCCTCTAATTTAGAAATTCAGCTGTCAACGGTGTCTCAACTGCTGCGATGTCACCGTTAATAACAGTGCTGTCTACCTGAAAAGTTTGAGGCCTGTAACCGTTTTAAAAATTTGAAAAGTATTCATCTATCCAATAAGTAACTTTAGAAGGGAGAGTTGGGAGTTCATTTTCGAAGAATTCGGGATTTCGGAATTCTCAACAACCCACCGTTCATAATCTCCAAGTTCAAGAAGAACGAATTTTAGGAATACTCTTTGTCCTGATCTACCCCGGAAGTAGTATGTTCCATTGACACATTTGGGATAGAGTTCGGGAAACCGAGGCGAGGTGAGAACGCCCTCTTCAGTCCGATGGGAATCAATTATCATCTCCAAGACTTCTGGAGCATTGCAACCCTGCTGTAGACTTGCAGAATCGCTGTTTAGAATGTTGGTGTTACTCGGAGTTCGTAAGACCACTTCGTCTGTCAGTCAAGGAAAAAGATTAAAAAGTGGTTGATGAGGAAGGTTGATAAATTTTGCCTACCAGGTAAAGTTGTGCTGCCAACCACCTCTTCTGTAACTGCGCAGGTAAGGCAAGTCAACTTTTGATCATTAATTCCAGACATACTTTAATAATTCAAAAACGTGGTACGAAGGCATTTAAAAATAGCGAGTGACCATGAGAATAGCTAACAAATTACAAAAAAATTACCTTTGATTAGACTGTGAGTTTAGGAGTTCTATATAATCTTAGTGTAGGATCGCATAACTAAACTAGTGATTTGCATGACTGCTTGTGAAAGGAATTGTATCATTTGCCTATTGTGTAAAATGAGCACTCTTCCACTGCAGAAAGCTCCCCATCAACTAGTTTGCGGACTTGCGAATCCATAAGATCGCCTGCGAAATCACTTGTATGTTCAAATTCAAGCACCTTAATCTAGTAAATCCTAAGCGGGTGCTTAGGGTTCGACTTCATCTGAAGCACTTTAAAAAAAGGGGGAGGAATCTCTCCGAAAGACCTCTTTTTGCCACGAGGAAGGAAGGTAACCAAATACGTTATTCCTAAGGTCTCAATCATTCATATTTCCCTGCTCCATTGAACAGATTGTTTAAAGCCATCCATGAAATTGGAGGCAAATGCAGGCAGTGTTTTTTAATGGCTGACTATGATAGCATCGCTAGATTTCTGGAATGTAGCTGAATTCCTCTATCAGCATTCACAGAATATGTTATCATAAAGGTGCTAAAAACCATGTTAAAGATGACAAATTTGCATACAAATTAGAAATCCCTAAATACCATTCCAGAGATTAGATATAAAATTATTACACATTTAAGGGAAGGGCTTTCTAGGCTTAGCCTAGGGATAAATGAGACTTCCATCGGCGATCATAAAGGCAAACTTAAAGGATGAGGTTGTAAAAACTGTGAACCTATCTTATGCCTTGTCAAGCTTTGTTGCTTAACACCATTTTTATGGCTAGACACTTAAGAAGTCGAATGGATTTCCCTAAAAACACAATCTTTTGTCCAATTGCGGCAGATAAAGTCCTGTTTCGTGAGTGTGCCTAGCTGTCGCAGAATCAGACAGGTGGGCAGCCAAAACACGGCAATAAATCCATTCCAACTCACCAGCCGCATCCTTAGGCAGACTGACTTTCTGCAATTTTTTTAAATAGTCGAAAAACTCTCGTACAGTCTCTTGCATTGCTCTTTTTTCAAAAGGGACTGCAGTGGTAGCTTTCCAAACCCGTGGTGATACTTTAGACCTCTTCACAAACACGTATTCGATCAAGAATCCACCATCTTTAGGGCGAAATGGAAGAGAAATGAAGGTAAGCTGGAGGTTTGGACCCTCAGAGATGATTTGGAAAGAATTGAGTGTCCCACAGATCCTTATTAAGAGGTTTGCCTCCCTCCATCGATCAGACGGTAAACTGTGGACCAGAACTCTATCGAAACTGGATAACAGGGATGTCTCATAGATGCAGCTGAATGAACAAAAAAATAGGCAATTATTTGGATGGAACAATACTGGAATATTTTCCACCTTCCCTGTAATTATACCACTGAAATGGGTTGTGGACAAGTGACAGTGCCGTTAAGACATTGAAATGGAATTGCAAAGATCAACCACTGGACTTTGGTGAAGTGGTGACAGATGTGCTGTGGCTATGATAATCGATTGAAGGCTGCAATTTTGGCATTTTTCGTTCCTTTTTTTGGTAAAAAATAACCCTGTATACTTGTTACGGACCACTCGCTCTCACCAAATCTTACAATTAGAGGGAAAATATTTTGGAAATGGTATATATGAGCGAGATAATAGATTTCTGGGTGTCGACTATATTGCTTCCTACAAGGACCGAATTCCCCGTAACTTCACCTGCAGAAACTTTAATTTCTACTTATTCTAAATGTTTAGCTTTCATTCAAGGTTACCATCAAAAAGTGATTTGTTTGACTTGCTTATATTTTATATTTTACAGATTTTTCAGACATTTGCAAATTAATAGGCACACTGATTCTTCACGCAACATTGCCTTTCCTCAATTGTGTTTTTTTGCCCTATACTTGCAGATGGTATTAAAAAAGCACATCAGACCAAAAATTTACAAATTAAAGACAATCTTTAAGGACGGAGTCAAAGTAAGAAATCCGTGGCTAATTTTATCTCATATTTTACTGTTATTATTGAAATTAGGCGTTTGTCATTTCACTTTGGCGAAGCTATATGCAAAGCTATAAAACTTTCCACTGAAAAGCAAACAAATATATCAAATAAAAGATGAAAGGAATTCCTCCTTTTGGTACTGATAACTTTATAATAATTTAGCAAAGCAAAAAAGGTCAGAAAATATTTTCCTTACTACAAAACAAATAATTTGGTAAAAACGGACATTGACTTGACCTAAATGTTTTCAGAAAAACTGGGGTAAATGGATAACTGGATCGAGCTTTTACTGCTCAGTGTAATTATTTACAATCCAATCAGCGTTGAAGGTCATCGGAACAGAAACCAGAAACGCAAGCATAATATGTCCCTGGGATAATTGAGACACTTCCTTTCATGGACATATTTCAATTAATTTGCTTCTCGACACAGCATATAGTGTGTATCGCTCAGCCAAATAGGGATGCTTACAATGTGCTTCTAACTTCGTTAGTTCCTTTACGTCTTTAAACATTGAAACAGTTTTTTTTAACCGGGTCCCACATGCTTTTTTTCCTGCTGCATGATCAATAACTGCAGTGCTTCATTAGGAGAATTGTTGTCTTTTGACTAAATTTATAGCCTACTGTCCTACAATGACATAATTAAGTATTAACAAATCTAATTTTGCCTTTGATTGCAACGTCCCTTTCCCTGAATGGATGAGAAATAAATTCGCTAGGAAGAAAAAAGTGCAAGACTTGACAGCCATAACAGATGTAGTTCCTAATGAAGACGCATGATTTTGTCTGCAATAACAATCTTAACTCCTACTAAAAAACAAAAAAAGTGTAGTACAGTTAACCAACAAACAAACAAGCAAGTACCTTTGTGTAGTTGAATTAGAGGGATTTGATAAATCTCGATGGCTCAGCAGTAAAGATTGAACAGACATGACAACGCGTTCATCGCCTCTCCCCATGAAGGTGTAGGAGCAGCGGATGTTGGGTGGGTAGTTATTGGGGTACCGTGGGGACACAATTCGACCACCCGCGATCAGGCGTCGCGCCGGTGTATTCTGAATGAGGTAAGAACACTCCGAATCGGGCAGCCGATCTCCATCCACCCGAAAGTTGCCTGGATGCATTTAAATTCAAATGCTATGAAAATGGCTCCCAGAGGCCAGAAGGCCAGTTTTATTTATGCCCAATTTGCGTGACGTGATTTGGGGGGCATTCTAATCGGGAAGGACACAGGTGAGGAAATATTGAACTTATCGAGACTTTACATGTCATGACCTCCTTGCATTACATAAAGTAGGACGCAAATTTGGGCAACTATTGTTGCTTTTTTTAATTGACTACACCACCTGGCTCCTTAGAACATAAATTTTGTCAGCATTTCCCCAAATTTATAGCTAAGAAGATTATCGAAGTAAGTGATTTTAATTTGAGAGTTCTAATCGTTTTACAGACCAGTAGATAAGCTTGTGTTATCTTTTTTGACTAACTTACTTGAAAAGAGAGATGTGAACTACCTCCAAAGTCGTTTTATCCGAATTCATAAGTGTAAGATCGCAAAGTCTGATATAAATTTCAATTCCTTTTCCTATGCATATCCTAGGCTATTAATAATTCAATTAGTGGGGTAAATCTTAACCTTCGGGTTGCGTGAATTATCAAGGAGAGTGCGTTTACGCTCCCTTTTCTGTTAGGTGAAGAAATAGTGTAAAATCTGCATACTTTTCACTGCTTGTTTGCTTTTTCCCACTCAAACCTTTTGAGTTATGAGTGGTGGTGATGGACTTAGGGCATTAAAGTACACAGGAGGACGGGTGTCACTTT